CCGGGTTTCTTGCCCTTCCCTGTTACCAAGAGCTCTTACAGAACAACCGCCTTGTTTTCTTCACCCGCATCGGGTGTAAATTCCCATGTTTTGCTGAGAATACGCCAATAAAGTACTTTCACACGTGAAGCTCCGGGTTAAACGTGTCTGTAAGAAGAGCAGGGAGGAAAAAAATCTCGCGTTTTTGCAGCGCTGAACAGGAGGGTAAGGAGGGGGCTTTACCCTGGGGTGACCGTTCCCCCCACAATCTCTCCCTCCCACTCCGCCGGGGCAGTAGCTCATGTGTGTGACAGTGGGCAAGACGTTGTCCGAGATCGTAGCGTTTCTTTTTAGGAAGGTTCTTGTTTCTAGAAATGGATTTTCCGCAACTTTCTGCCAACCGGCATCTGCCTTTGTGTTATTCCAGCCACCGAGTACCACCTCGGCCTGCTGAAGGCAAAGCTTGCAAAATACAGAGCCCAGTTACTAGAACCTTCCAAATCTTCGGCTGCCAAAGGGGAAGGCTTCGATGTGATGAAATCTGGAGACGCCCGGGTGGCGCTGATCGGTTTTCCTTCCGTGGGTAAGGTGAGTGAGTGTCGGCGTGAACCCCGTGGCCTGTGGGTTTCCAGGTTTGTCGTGGGCTGTAAAGCAGACGGCCGGCTTCTCTTTGTCTCTGGCCGCCTTGCCGTGGCTTTGTTACACGCTGAGAGCTGAAAGCTGGCGCGAGGGAAGCACTCCATCGGGTGGGCGGTGGCCTGGGGGACAGCCTGAAATTTGGCCTCACCCAGTGGAGAAAATAGGTGAGAGCACAGGATTTAGCGGGGAGATGGAGATGGGACATCAGGAAGAAACTCTTCCCAGAGAGGGTGGGGAGCCACTGGGACAGGTTGCCCAGAGAAGCTGTGGATGCCCCATCCCTGGGAGTGTCCAAGGCCAGGCTGGATGAGGCTTGGAGCAACCTGGTCTAGTGGAAGGGGTCCCTGACCCATGGCAGGGGGGTTGGAACTGGATGAACTTTAAGGTCCCTCCCAAGCCAAACCGTTCTGTGATTCTAAGATTTACCTGCGTTCGTGGAAAGTGCTGGCTGTCCCACCACCAATTCTGTCCCTGTGCCTGGAACAGCCACCCCACGACTTCTGAAACTCAAGGAATGCTTTGGTATCGCTTGTTTTGCTGAACGTTTGTCGGTGCTTCCATTTGGGTCTCCCTAGTGATGCTGGTCTCTTGCATTTCAGTCCACGTTTTTGAGTTTAATGACCTCAACCGCCAGCGAAGCTGCATCTTACGAGTTCACAACCCTGACGTGTATCCCAGGAGTCATAGAAGTAAGTAGGATCCTACTCCCTTCAGCGCAGTAACGGTAAGAAACGCAGGCCTGGCAGCGTGCCTGTGGTACCCAAAGGTCTCTCCTCACTTTGGCTTTAAGCTCACGAGGGCTCGCAGTATCAGGTTTTCTGCAGCCTGTAGTGCTGATTTAGCCCTTCCCCGGACCACGACACTCTGCAGGGCTGCCTGCCCCAGGGGGGTTTCCTACACTGCCGTTACGCTGACCAGAGCAATGCGGTGAGTCTCAGCCGAGTTTTTTAGAACTGCTGGTGGTACCGTTGGCCAGATGGCTGGAAACCTTGACAGATTTGTTTTTAATGAAGCTTTAAAAGAGGCAATCTGTCCTGTGATCAATTTGGAAAGAAAATACAACCGCTCCTGTCCTTGAGGAGTTTTATTAGTGGTGGCCTAAGCATCTGTCAGCAAAGCAAATGCTAAAGGGCATCGAACTGAAGTGTGTCCAAGAGTAATGAGAAAATTTGGGTCAGAATCGAAAGCAGAGGTAAATCATGAAAGTAACCGTGGTGGTGTTAAGGTGAACACAGAGATTGTAACGCGTCCCAACGCAGCCTGGAGCTGCAGCCGCTCAGCAAGCCGTTACCGGGGGCTTCACTGCAACAACAGCTTGAAAGCTGCGGGTCTGGGGAATGAGCCTCCCGTTATTCCCTGGGGCTGTAAGGCCTGCAACACCTCTGAACAGTCCTGAGCCGTCTCGGTAAGAGAAGGCGCTCGGTTGTCACGGCACGTTCCCGTTAGACCAAGAACGTAAGGGTGCTTTTGTCTTTCCTCTCCGTTTCACCGGCTGAGGATAGCGCGACGCTTCTGCTGGGCTGTTCTCCTGCTGCTTCTCTCCTCAGCGTGCACCTGGAGCTTCCGAGGCAGCTTGGGTGCCTCGCACAAGGCTCTCAGCTTTTGCTCCTTCTGTTTCCTTTCCAGTACAAAGGAGCCAATATTCAGCTGCTGGATCTGCCTGGAATCATCGAAGGAGCAGCACAAGGTTGGCTCATCTGTGTGTTCCTGTAAAGTAGGGATTTGCCCTCGAATAGCGTACCTGGCTGTCTCAAATGTTAGCAGCTTTCCTGGGCCAGTAGTTCCCACCTTGGCTTTCCAGATTTCAGAGGCCTTGATCTTATGTGAGGCACGATTCTTATCCCTGAGCCCACGTAGTGTTCTATATGTAGCGGAAAGATGCTTTTCTGGAGGTGGGAGCCAGAGCAAGCCAGTTACTTCTCACCTCCCTGCGTGAGTGTGATCTTGCTCATCTGTTTTCTGGTACAGAGGAAATCTAAAGAAAGATGCTGGCGAGGTGGAGGGGGAAATTACAGCAAAGCAGTAACCTCTTCTGGCAAATTTCTTGAGTTCCTGCCAGTCCTCCCTTGACTCCTGATGCTGGGAATAGGCACTGGCTTTGTTCCTCTGCTTGGTCATTGTCCAGGTTGGCTGGTTGTGTCAGAAGATGCCTTAGGAAACTTTGGGAAATCCTAGTAGTCTTTTTAATGAGGATCACAGCCTGATTAATAAGGCCTCTCTCCTTTTGGAGCAGAAAGCTTATGTAACCTCTCTGCCCAGGGGCCATGGGCCCACGTCCGTGTTAGGGGTAAGCTGTCTGCGCTGCCGGGAGCAACTGCTGTTGCATGTGGCCGCAGGTGTCTGTCCTGCTGGCAGAGGTGGCATTTCCACCTGTGCAGCTGTACTCAGACCACGTCACACGCACCATTTCGTGTAGCCTGCAGTGCAGGAGCAGCAGCAAAGGGTATTCGTTAGGGCTTGTGCTGGACATGAGACAGTACGGGTGGGCCAGAGACGCTCGCCTGAGGGCCCCCCGGCAGCTGACTACAGCTGGTACGGCGCTGCGGGATCTTCTTCCACGCTCCCAAGCAGCTGTGCAGGGCAGGAGTCATGGTCTGTCGCAGAACTCGGGCGGTTTCTCCCCCTGACATACAGCCATCTCCTCTCTCCGCAGGGAAGGGCAGAGGTCGGCAGGTGATAGCTGTGGCCAGGACAGCAGACGTCGTTATCATGATGCTGGATGCCACGAAGGGGGAAGTACAGAGGTACGTGGGCTGGTGGGCCGGGTTCAGGGCTTCCCCCATGCCCAGAAAACATCCTGGTTCCCCGTGTGTCCTGCTGGGGAATCAGTATTTAAGCTATTGGGTGGGAGGTGGAGGTTGTGCTTGCTGGAAGCAGGCCAGCTAACTGGGAGCAGTGCTTAGAGCGCTCTACAGAGCTCCACTGGGGCTTCTCGGCTGAAGGATCATTCCCATGGGATGACCACTCAGAGACAGGGATGTCAACCTAGGTTTCCAGATTCTGTCCTGTGTTAGCTGTGGGTTTCAGGTTGCAGTGAAAGCTTGTGGCAAGGCTGTATCTACGACGGTCCGAAAGGAAAGGTGCGGGTGTTGCTGCCCGGCCCGGTCCCACTGCTGCTGACGTGAAGTGTCTCCGCAGGGCCCTGCTGGAGAAAGAACTGGAATCTGTAGGAATCCGGCTGAACAAGAACAAACCAAATATCTACTTCAAGGTGAGGTTTCCTGGGCTGCTGCACGTGCAGCTTGTGCCCGGCTGCCAGCCCGAAGCCTCGGGCAGATTGCAGGGGGGGGCACGGATTTTGCAGGCTGTTGTGAAGTTGCTTCATTGCTTCCCTGCAGCCGAAAAAGGGTGGAGGAATCTCCTTCAACTCAACTGTCACGTTGACTCAGTGCTCCGAGAAGTTGGTGCAGCTCATCCTCCATGAGTACAGTATCCTTTCTGAGCCATCAGCAGCTCGCCAGTCGCGCGGTGCCGGCTGCCAAACAGCCTGGCTGTGTCTTTGGGTTGAGAATGGGTGTCCACAAGCAAGCTCAGGCCGTCGGCTCGCCACGGCGGGTAGATGTCTTGGGATTTTGGGCCTTGACGACGTTCACCTCAGAAATCTTCAATGCTGAGGTCCTCTTCCGAGAGGATTGTTCCCCTGACGAGTTCATTGATGTGATTGTGGGCAACAGGGTCTACATGCCGTGCCTCTACGTGAGTATCTCGGAGGCAGCCCGCCTTCTGCAGCACCGAGGGTGTCCGTTCTCTGCTGAAGGAAACACTGGGTCTTCCTGGTTCCTAAAGCCCTAACGCTGTGGGGTTTAAGAGTTGGGAAGCAGAGCTCCAGGGAGCTTTGTGTAAGCACCCCGTGTTCGGCTGTGCTCTGTGTGTTCCCTCTGCCCTCTTGCGGCTGGCTGCCGGGGAGCAGCAGGAGCTGCGTGTCGGGCTGGCACGGGATTTGCTCCCACAGGATTTGCTCCCACGGGGCAAAGCCTTCGGTTCCTTTGTGGCGAGCTCTGCCCTTGGGGTTTCACTACTGGTCTCCTGGAGCTCACTTAACGCCTCTGATAGCAACTGTGTCTACAGTGACATCCCAAATACTGGAGAATGTGGCAAGCCATCCCAAAAAAGAACTTTAGAAGACCCAAACTTATATTTTTGGCTTTGGAATTTCAGGTTTACTTTCCTGAGAGCCTTGGCTTGTCCTCTAACTGACGGGATGCAGGAGTGCCTTGTGGCACCTACGTGTGCGTGTGTCTTGGTTCCTCGCAGCGCTGCTGAATTGGCTTCCTCAGGGCTGTGTTGTTTTCCCTTTGGCTTAGGTTTATAACAAGATTGACCAGATATCTATGGAGGAGGTGGATCGTCTTGCCCGGAGACCCCACAGTGTTGTAATCAGGTAGGAGCCTGTCCTGCTGCCTAGTGTACTGGCCTGGGTGGTGTGGGGGTTCATTCCATACTCCTCCAGCTTCTCCCAGGGCTGTCTGCAGCTGCTGGGGTGGGAAGCAGAGCTGCTGTGCAGCTTTTTCCAGGCTTCCTTCCCCTTCTCCTGGCGTCTCCATGCTGTCTGCAGGCCGGAGTAAGCCAGTCTAGCTTGTTTCCTTGGAAGCGTTGATGTATCTGACTGTGTCTTTGCTGCTTCAAAGCTGCTTGCCCTTCTGAAAGCTGCATTTTTTGCACCTCTTGTCTTCCCTTTGCTGGCCTCATGAAAGGCTTTCACCTTCTTCCCTGGTACTTCAATAACCTTGAAGCTCACCTTGTTCTTAACAACGCCTCACATCATTCTCCTGTTGTGATCATTCTCTAAATCACAACAGCAGTAAACACAGAGATGTTCCTGGTGTTTTTGCAGCTGTGGCATGAAACTGAACCTGGACTACTTGCTGGAGAAGCTGTGGGAATACCTGGCACTTACCTGCATCTACACCAAGAAACGAGGACGTAAGTGACCGTGGGCTGGATGGAGGGTTTGCTGCCGGGGTGGAGACGAGGGGGCTCAGGGGAGACCTTATCGCTCCTGACAGCTCCCTGAAAGGAGAGTGCAGAGGCAGGGGGAGGCGGGCACCCCAGCAAAAAACA